GAGAGAGAGAGAGAGAGAGAGAGAGAGAGAGAGAGAGAGAGAGAGAGAGAGCTTCACTGGAGGGCATTCAGAGAGTGATCAGAGTGACTTGTGAGGTGAACTGACATGAGAGAGAGAGAGAACTGAAAGAGCAGAGAGAGAGAGAGATTCACGCGCATGCTGAGTTGAGCGACCATTGCCGCTGGTGACGGAGAAGATGAGCAAGTTTGTGTTGACCATTGACTCTTTTGGACTTCGTGTGACATCTGTCACTGCGGTGTGGTGGGGGATGTGTGTCCGGGTGTTCATGCATGGTGGTCTTATCGCACTTATTCTTTTTTTCCCAAAGAAAACAGGAGTTTATACAAGATAACTCGTCACGATTCCATCCGTTGAGGTCGGCGGTCCCATCTGATCTGTATTGTCAGTTTTTTATCATCAGTGTATTGGCTGGAATCACAGTCATGGTGTTTTGAGTTGTATTATGTAAGCCAGCGCGGAATCACTCTCAGAGTTTCCCAGTCTTTTCCTAGCCTGATTCGGTAGCCAAGGTCCAGAAAGAACAAAGTGAACCAGATCTAAGACTTTTTTGCTTGTCTTCTTTGTTTCCAACTTGTGTTTGTGTATATGTGAGTTCCACTTTTTGTGTGTATGCAACATAGCAGCGAGAGACACCAAAGTTGAATAAGCATACAAGAGCGAAGGCAAAGGCAGATTTATGAAGCCAAAATCACACCGATTGGCAACTCACAAGCATAGAGTCCCTTGATATAGAAAGCCCAACTTCATGCCTCCAGTTATCATTACAACAACTGCTTGATGCTCTTCTATGTTGTGACAGCTTATGCTACTACCCTATTTTTCTCACATACTATCCTACTCCCTGTCTATCTCTCACTCTCTTCTCTCTCTGCCCACATTTCCTTCTTCCTCAGGATGTTGTAGCGTCCGACCATGCGAAGTGTGCTTTCCACCTGCCCTCTCTTCCCATCATCCTCCCCGTACTTGCATGCCTCTCTCACATCCAGTGCAGCTATGGCTGCTGGTGGTAGAACTGTTGTATCGTGGCAGCTCTCACCTTCTGTTGTCAATGCACCCGGCCTAGCCGGCTTCTGCTGCTCTAATTTTAGCACATTGAGCCAGAAATCCTCCGAAAAAGTGTGCCTGGGCAGCTGCTTCCAATGCTTTTGTCAATTGAGGACGTCGCGATTGCGTCATCGAGGACTCTGCTTTTCCAGTACGGGAAGCTTCTGAACAGCCTCCCCCGCTTTCCATATGCCTGGACCTTTACTTTATTGCCCTGGCAGTTACTTTTGAAAGCCTGGGTCTATACTTAGGCCCGACTTTATTATGGTATGGGCTGGCTGTTACTTAGGGCCGTGTCAATTCCATGTGGGCGGCCCATGATGGGCGCTACCAAGGCCAAGGGGTCGTGCATGTGCGTGTGCNCCCCCCCCCCCACACACACACACACCACCAATCTGTGTGCGTTGTCATATCCGCTATACACAGCTCCCGGTCTGCTAGTGCGGTCCCGGAATGACCTATGCTTAGTAAAATGAATGATCTTCAACAGGTCTCAGAAGACCAGTGTTTCACCTATGAAGATGTTCCCATAGCTGGCTTATGTGCCTCAACAACTGTCGATTGTCCAATGAGGAGGGGGATTTTGGGGGGGGGGGGGGCGACAGACAAATGCTGAAAGACTTGGAAGCGGTAGGCATTCTTGGCCTTGCTCCGTGTGCGCATACTTCCGTAACCTTGTGCAAGGAACCATGCAATGAGAACCCCAATTTTCCAGAATGCAGAATATCATAGAAGACCAAGCATGAATAAGCCAAGTTGAAAGCAGAATACCAAAGCTGAATGCGCACCGATTAGGGGCACACATAACACTGAAGTCTCTTCATAAAGAAAGTCTGACTTCTCGTTTCCAATTATCAGTACACCAACAATGTATTAGCCCTACTGTGATGTGACCACCCCATGCTCCTTCCTCCTCCCTCTACTCACACTGCCTACTACACCTCAATCTCTGTCCACACATCACTCGCCTAGTGCTGCTTGGAGACTCTGCTCACACAGGCTTCCTCCAACAAAACCAGGTCAGAGCTGCCAGTACCCACTGCCTTCCTTATTCCCAGCCTCCACACTTCACCACTCTGCTTCCTGCGCCTGGCTATGGCTCACGATCACAGCCAGCACAGCTGCTCGCCAGGCTACTTCCTCCAGCCTGCTGCTGTGCAGCAATCCACCTGAACATGTCCTCCTCTGGCGACCTCCCTCCTTTTGTCTTGTTCTGGAGGCCTCGTCTGGACCCGTTAGGCTTTGCCTGCGGCCTACTTGCGCTAAGTCCACGTTCTGCCTCTGCAACTAACTTGGAGGCTATGCCTACCGGTTAGATACAGGGGCTGGGACCTGATTTCAGACCCAGATTCCCCCGGCCGACCTTCACTTAGGGCCCTCGACGTTTTCTTAGGCCCGCTTTCACTTAGGGCAAACTGGACCATTTTTCAGTCTTTCATAAGGGCCGCTGCAAGTTTCCTCGCAGACAGCTGTCACAGAGATCCTTAGTTAGTGACTGTAAGTAAGCCAGCAGAGGCTTGGCAAGTACCTTCCTTACTGCATACGTTCTGGATAATCTGGAGTGCGGCGTGGCATGCGCAAGACCTAAGAAATGCATAGGAAAGATGGTCAAATTCAAACCAAAGGAAGTAATCCAAAAATGAATTTGACTTGATGTTTATGGATATTGAAGTCCAGAGATTTTGCCGGAGGCCTGGAGCCTCACACTTGTCCTTGATTCGTCATCCCATCCCTCTCCAGAGTTCATGACTTTTCTGAATTTAGCTGTGTCTGAGCGAACTTTATCTCGAGTTTTTAGAGAACAAGGACAATGGCCTTGAGATATCATCTTCAAACTGACCGGCCCCAGGTAAAATTCAGAGTTATTTACTCATACAAGTTGATTGGGATTCAAACAGGGTGTACCAACTGTGGCAATCGGCTGTCTTCTTTCTGTGAGCTTAGCATGTTAGTTGCTTTTTTGTTCTGGAAAACTACTGTGCTTGTGTTGTTTGTGGTTTGAACCTTTGGTTGGCTGATGAGAACAGGTTTTGCGCATGTAATGATGTTGTATGTGATTGTGTGGATCTTGTACTGGCTGTCACAGTTTTTCAACGAATGAATGATGGAATCAAAGCCACCAGCTGGTATGACCTTGGCGGCGCCATGGAGACCTTACTTGAGTGATGAGATGGCGGCAGTCATCATGCCCCTGGTAGTATACTGGTTGTATTCTGGACTTTACCATCTGGTAGAGGTGTTGGTTCCTTCTGGTGTTAAAGCGTATCGGCTCCACACATGGGATGAGAGCAGCAAAAACCTAACCAGTGTGCCGAAGGTTGTAGGCGGGGTGCTTCTGCAGCAGGCCTTGCAGGCCGGAGTTGCGGTTGCTCTTTTTGTATTTGATGATTCGACACAGCGCTCACAGCCTGAGCCCGATACTTGGGTCCAGATTGGCCAGCTCTTAGTTGCCATGTTCATCATGGATACCTGGCAGTACTTTTGTCATCGTTGGATGCATGTCAACAAGTTCATGTATCGCCACTTCCACTCTGTTCACCATCGTCTGACAGCTCCAATTGCCTTCGGTGCGTTGTATAATCATCCGGTGGAGGGGCTGTTGATGGACACGGTAGGTGGTGCGCTCTCTTTCCTGCTGTCAGGCATGAGCACACGTCTTGCTGTACTCTTCTACTGTTTTGCAACCATGAAAACTGTGGACGATCACTGTGGACTGTGGCTACCGCTCAATCCCTTCCAGAAGCTCTTCAGCAACAACTCCGCGTATCACGATATCCACCATCAGCTGCATGGAGGGAAGTACAACTTCTCACAGCCATTCTTTGTGTTTTGGGACAGGATTCTGGGAACATACATGGAGGTGAAAGTTCTAAGAAGGGAAGAGGACGGCTGCCTTCAAGCAGCACCGGTGAGTTTGCACAGAAAGGGAGAGTAAACAAAGAGAGAGAGAGAGAGAGAGAGAGAGAGAGAGAGAGAGAGAGAGAGAGAGGGAGGGAGTTAGGGAGGTTCCCATTGTCACCTTGTCTATGCTGCGCATTGTATGAGGTGTTCAACATGAGTGGTAGGGGGGGGGTTAGGACAGGGAGGGGAGTGGGCTGATGATGATGGATGTGTGCACATGTTCACTCTCAGAGTCCCACTCAACTTTTTGAAAGTAGTTCATATGCTTCGTACTTCAAACACTTCAAACTCCTCGCAACTTACTTGAACACACACATCTTCAACCTAGGATGAACCTCGCAGTCCACATGATCGAACTGCGTAGTAGTGATTCACGTCATTAACTTACGTGAACACACATCTTCAACCTAGGATGAATCTCGCAGTCCACATGATCGAACTGCGTAGTAGTGATTCACATCATTTTTTGCCGTTCAGTAGAGGGGAGTGGGCTGATGATGATGGATGTGTGCACATGTTCACTCTCAGAGTCCCACTCAACTTTTTGAAAGTAGTTCATAAAAGTAGTTCATA